CCCTCGATGGACGAGAGGGAGTACCGGCGGGAGCCGCAGCGGTCGCGGTCGGAGCGCATCATCCCGGCCCGCACGTCGCGGCGGTACGAGGATGAGGCGGCAATTCACGCGCCCAGTCGAGGACGCCGTGCGAGCGCCGAGCCCCCACGCGGCTCCGCGTTGGCCGGGTTGAACGGCAAGGACCGGGGCATGGGTCGAGTGGCGGAGTGGAGGTCGTATGTCGAGATGGGCGTGCCAGATGGAGAGTCGGTGGTGGGACACGCTTGAGGGATAAGGGGATGGGAAATTGTTTTGCGGAATTTAGCGATCAACTACTGCATACGCATTATATCCGTGTTGCGCGCCTACGTGAGCGAACATTTATGGCACATTGATAATATGGCCGGGTATCCAATGCCTGGACACGTTCATCTGAATGGTAAAAATATGGACCTAGATGGGGAATAAGCCTTGTATCTTTAATAATAGTAATCCGTACATAGAATTCTTGAAGTGGGCTTTTAAAGATGACGGTTTCTGGGTTCAGATGTTGGCGAGTTGCTAAGTAGTCTGGAAGCACCGGAGCATGGCACGCGTGGACACAATGAATCATTACGTCATGGGTCATTTTCTTTTTTTGGTTGAGCGCCTCACCACGATCCGTGATTAGAAGGCCAGAGCCGTTGGGGTCGGCTTGGCTATCCCGTTTTAATAAAAACCTGCAAGCCACGCATGCAAGCACTTATCAAGACAATCAAGCCGCACGGGTGACGCTGGTCGGTGCGCTGGCGGCCTCAGTTCAGGGGCGCTCTTTGGTGGTTACAGCGGGGTAGATACGGAGTAGTCGCTGTAAATATAGAGTATTCAGGCAGGGCAGGGCGTGTGTGCCGGGCAAGTCAGTCCGCTAAGGTAGAGCCGGAAATGCGCTGTAACGTCCTGAACCAAGATTCCTCAAGCTTATTACAGTGGGTTGTAGGTACTGTGGACGATGCCGCGACAAGGCTCCGGCAACTCCAGTCACGGGGGCCCGCTTCATCCGCGATCCATGCCATGCCCCTCTATCTCATCCATCACCATCTCCTTTCCTTTGCGGCTTCAAGCTTCGTCGCTCTTCTTCTCTTCGTCCTTCAAGTCTCTTATCTACTTGCCTCAGCGCCTAGAAATTTCTACACCAGTCATCTCCGCATTCCTCCTGAGACAATGCTGCTGCATCATCTTCGATAGCGCTCCATTCTCATCTGCACCAAGCACGTGCCAAGTAACCCACTGCAGCGACACCTCTCCGCCTCGATCGATTCTCCTGCTGCCTCGCGGGCGCCCGTGCCAAGGTGATGCTTCTCCTCCACCAGGTTGGCAGCGTCAAGATTGGCGAGGTCATCCGCTACACCGTCACCTATACACCGTCTCAGGATCGTATCCTGCCCTCTCCGGAGAAGCTCTACGTCCGTTTCCGCAACACCTCGGCCATTGCTCTGCGCGCCGCCTTCGTTCACGGCCCATATACCCTCTCCGTCGCCGCCTATCCCGCCAAATTCAAGCCCAACGAAAAGTTTCCCGATCCCCAGCGATATGGCGTCCCAGAGTTTCAACCCCTGGTTAAAGCCGGCGGCTCCTGGGAGTGCGAACTCATCGTCCCCGACGATATAAGACAGTCGGCCGGCATCGGTGGGAATGGCAGCACTTTCGGCAAGGACGCCCGCCACAATGCGGAATGCGCCAGCTGGGTAATCGAAATAGCCTCTCAGGTCATCTTCTCGACCTCCGCCGCCGTTTCCTACGACCTTGTTGTCGGGCGCGATCAAAAGGCTCTTAGCCTTAGCCAACCCTCAGGCTCGTCCGCCGAAGGTCACCACAACATGCAGCCTGGCAAGTTGAGCGATCACCAGCAGAGTTTCGGCGCCAAGGATGGTCACCACCGAGCGCAGCCTCATGGTATATTCTCCCGCGCTGTAAAGCTCAAGGTCGAAGACACTGCGACACTGTGGAACACGCCTCGACTGCCGGGATGGGACGACATGGGCAAGAAGCGCGCCCAAGAAAACAAAGGCGCCGATAAACCCGTCGAAAGCATGGCCAAGACTGGCGACCCTGAGACCTCCGATGACAAACCCATACGCAAGCAGAAAAAAATTCATCTAGTCTTGCTCACACATGGCTTACACAGCAATCTTGGCGCAGACATGCTATACATGAAAGAATCCATCGACGCAGCCGCAAAACAAGCAAAGATAGACGCCAAGGCCAGACGGCAAAAGGAAAGAGCTGAGGCTGGGCGGCCTGTTGATTCGGCCGAGGACGACGATGACGAAGAAGTCGTCGTTCGTGGATACTCTGGTAACGCGACAAAAACAGAAAAGGGAATCAAATATCTTGGGAAACGGCTCGCCCGATATGCTCTATCAATCACCTACCCCGACCAGCCATTCATCCCTCTTGGCAAATCTCACGGTGAAACGCTGATTAGGAGCTTTGATAACGAGGACTTGCTCAAACAACACATATTCAGGCAAGCACATAAGAACAGCAAGACATCGGAAGACACGACAGTGCGCGGAAAAGATTCTCTCCGACCTTATACAATATCTAGCATAAGTTTTATCGGACATTCACTGGGTGGCCTCGTCCAAACTTATGCTGTCGCATATATTCAGAAGCACTCGCCGCAGTTCTTCGACCTCATCCGCCCAGTCAACTTCATTGCCCTAGCATCCCCGTTCCTTGGCTTGAGCAACGAGAACCCTGTCTATGTCAAGTTTGCACTAGATTTCGGTCTCGTGGGACGAACAGGCAAGGACTTGGGCTTGACTTGGCGAGCTCCCACAATTGCCCGAAATGGTTGGGGTGCCATTGTCGGCAATCTGGGTGAATCGGCCCACAAGACCGTCTACGGCGATAGCCAACCTGACTCAAAGCCATTGCTGCGTATTCTCCCTACTGGTCCTGCACACACAGCGCTGAAGAAATTCAGAAACAGAACTACATATTCAAACGTTGTCAATGATGGCATCGTTCCGCTGAGGACAAGTTGTCTGTTGTTCTTGGACTGGCAAGGCTTAGGGCGCGTCGAAAAGGCCCGTCGAGATGCGGGCCTCGTCGAGACTGTGGTTGGCTTTGGCTGGGCGGAACTAACAGGTGCGAGCATGTCCACTACCAAAGTAAAGCATCCGCTTGCCGTTGAAACAGGTCAAGAGTCTGGCGCTACTACTCCTCGAGAAAATGCGCAGCAGGTGCCACAGCCGGATAGCCATACAATGGAGGAGGACGACAGAGCCAGTCTGCGGTCTGTGTCGACGCCATTTAGCGAAGGCAGTCAACCTCAGGCTTCGCCCAGCGCGTCATCTATACAAACTCCATTATCAAGCTTCTTCAACCTTTTCAAAAGCAGCGAGCCTCCCAAGCCGGAAATCATGACTAAGAAGCAAAAGAAGATGATGCGACGAGCGCAGACCGTTCAGCTTGATTCACATTCGGAGACTCCGAGCTCCAGCACATCAGATGTAAGCAAGTCTACAAAGGTAACGGCCGGTCATGAATTCGAAGCAGGCGATGCTGGTGGATTTATGGCGCCTCCCAAGACAACATTTTTCGAGTCGGCAGGTGATCTTTTGAATCCCCAAATGCCAGACGTCGACTTCTTGGTCGATCCGTCAAAGCGGCCAAGAACAATCTTCCATGACAGGGTGTATCAGCCCTCCGATATTCCACCTCCGCCTCTAAAACGTCGCAATACCTCTTCCCTTATGCGGAAGAAGTTCAAGTCGTCTCAGTCGCCCAAGCCGACAGAGAGCGGTTCGTCTTCGCCGTACCCCACAGTTGATCATCAAGATTCCTTGGTGTCTGCCAAAGATTACGATGACACTGTACATACGAGCCCAGATAAGCACCCAGATGAGGTTGTCGACGGGTCCGGGATGCGAGTCGAGGAAAAGATTGCGCGCGGCTATCACAGGGACCTCGCCTGGCGCAAGGTCCTTGTCAAGCTCGAGCCTGACGCGCACAACAATATTATTGTGCGCCGCATGTTTGCAAACGCATACGGGTGGCCCGTCATCCATCACTTGGTCGACGTGCACTTTAGCGACTCGGTCATTGCGCGCATGGCGACGCAAGACGAGAACCTCGGCGAGCGCGCACTGGAGGCGAACCAACCCCCGGACGCGCACGGCTGCGAGACGAAGCAGCTGAGCGAGGAGCTTAAAGCTACGCTGGTTATCAGCGATGATGATGCCGGCAATAGCGCCGAGTCGCGCGACACTGTCAAGGCGCTACCCCCGCCCAAGAGCCTCGACATCGACGGCAGCTTGGCCTCGCCTGCCCATGGTGGTGACGGCGGCGCGGCCTCGATGACGTGGAGCGACCGTGACTGGGTCGACAGCGACGACAACAGCGACGCGGAAGCTTCCACCGCGGGCAAGCACGAGGGTGTAGCCGGCAAAAGCGACGGTCTGCTGGGACCGTCATCGTGGACATGGGCGGAGAAGATTGTAGGCAAGGGCGCGGCGTCGGGCAGAAAGAGTCCGGTGCCAGAGCAAAAGCAGAAACAAGCATAGAATTCTATACATGTACACGCTTCGTTAGAATAGATAATTAATTATATTATAATATGCCAAAGATAGCTAAACAAAACTAATGCACAGGGTATGATCAGGAGCGGCAGCTCTGCCACGTGTGACTTTGAACAGCTCTGCAACTTTGTAGACAGAAAATGCCTCGACTTGGAAGGGAGAAGAGCTCTCTATGGTTTCACCGATGCTAGAAGTCGGAAAATATGGTAACACTTTATTCATGAGTTTCTTACATACTAATACATGTCTCATCAATAGTATTATTATTTCAAGAAGCCAGCAGGCTTCATTTTAAGGCTAAGAAGCAAGAATCGAAAGACAATGTTGACCTGACTGTTTACAGTATGATTTATCTCCCATGAACTTTTTTTCTTGTTCAGAGTAAGTTGAGTAGTGATATACACACGTTTGTGTGAAAAGTGCAAAAAATGAATGGTGGGTTCAAACCACCTTTGTTGGACAGACGGGGAATCGAACCCCGGACCACTCCCAAGCGGGATCTTCCAGTTGGAGGATGGATGCTAAGGGAGTATTATACCACTAAACCATCCGCCCGAACTTGTTACGACGGCTACATCTATTTCTATATATATACTGCAATGTGTGTGATCTTATTGCAATAGCCCAGACGCATGGTCTTTCACGAGGTGAATTAAACTCCCGAAACCACACACTCACATCATCAAATCTTTCACGCTTTGGCCTGAAAGTCGCGAAGGACATCATGTGCCTTGGTAGTAGATACCTGGTCATACACCCAATGGGCCACACTGCACGTCGCACCACAGCACTGGACGAGTGGGCGATGACGGATTTTACTTGGTGCGTTCATTATCTGCTCTTGTCTGGACCGCCATTAAATCTGGGGTCAGAAATCCAAATCCCCCCAAAAGCGGCGCCGCTCGTGCCGACTATCCGGCTGCGCCCCGTGTAGCAGTAACTTTGCAGGCAGCGCGGCTTGGCAAACTACCTACGGATTACCTACCGATCTGCGGCCGCTTTAAATCCAGGCCGGACAGACACTCAGGGTAGGGGCTCCAAGACGGGCGACGAACGGATAAGTCGGCCTCCTCAAGCAACTTTTGTTGCCCAGGCGTGGCACCCGCCTTAGCCTGTCCTTTTTTTTCCTTTTTTTTTTCTTTGTTGTTCTTCTTGACTAGTCAATTCTATTTTAGCATCTGCGTTTCGGTATCGCAAATCAGGGGACAATAAATAGCTGCCGGTCCCGTGCTGACGCAACGCGTTCGCTCTGCTACTGTTGCATCGTGTAGTTGCCGAATAAAACCTGCTGCATCGCCGGACTCGTTACTTTACTATCCTACGGGCAAAACATTCGCTTTATTTTTCTTCACTTTAATGCGGTAATTTCTTCAAATCACTTCGCTTCACTATTGGAAGTGCTGCGCCGCCGCCTTGAGCGCATTTCCTTGTTCACCAACCTCCGTTTGCGATTCTGCTGCAACCGGCCCGCCTGTCGAAACAACTCAATCTTTTCTCTCTATTTCTCAATAGCGCGCCACAATTATTCATTCATTCTCGAATTGCCTTCAATATCGACGTCCCAACCTCCCAACCTCGTCTCGAAACCGCAGAATGGTCTCTGCCAAGACTTTGATCGCCAGCCTGGCGGCCGCTGGGGCCTTGGCTGCCGATGTGCCCTCGCTTCAAATCAAGGTACGATCCGATATGCAGGGATCGCTGGGCCAACAGCGAAAATCGCCAAGCTAACAACTTGACTCGCTCGCAGGGATCCAAATTCTTTTATCCCAATGGCACGCAATTCATCATCCGCGGCGTCGCCTACCAGCAAGATTCCTCGGCTGGCGGCAGCGACGCCCCCAAGAGCAACGCCACATTCATCGACTCTCTCGTGAGCAAGTCCAACTGTGAGCGCGACATCCCCAACCTGGTGTCCCTCAACACAAACCTCATCCGCACCTATGGCGTCGACCCCAATGGCAACCACGACGATTGCATGCAGATGCTCGCAGACGCGGGCATCTATGTCATTGCCGACCTGGGCAACCCCACCATTTCCATCAACCGCGCCGACCCCCAGTGGAACGTCGATCTCTTTACGTTTTTCCAGAGCGTCGTCGACACCATGGCCAAGTACTCCAACGTTGTTGGCTTCTTCGTCGGCAACGAAGTCACCAACAGCAACACCACCACCGGCGCATCTGCCTACGTCAAGGCTGCTGTCCGCGACATGAAGCAGTATGTCAAGGACAAAAATTACCACACTGGAATCGGCTATGCCGCAGATGACTCCTCAGACTTGCGTAACACGATTGCCGAGTACATGAACTGCGGCGACGCATCCACCGGCGTCGACTTTTATGGATACAATGTGTACGAGTGGTGCGGCGATTCCACTTTTGAGACCTCTGGCTACAACCGCATTCTCGACTTTTTCCAGTCATACTCTGTCCCTGCCTTCTTTGCCGAGTATGGCTGCAACAAGCCCGGCGGTGCCGCCAAGCGCGAGTGGCAGGAAACCGGCGCCCTGTACGCCAAGAACATGACCGACGTCCTGAGCGGCGGCATCGTATACGAGTACTTTGAGGAGGAGAATGACTATGGTAGGTTTGACCAACTACACCCCATACCTCGAAGCCCACCACTAATACCCATGCTAGGTCTCGTCAAAGCTTCGGATAGCGACAGCACCGTCACCAAGCTTGACGACTTTGACACTCTCGAAAAGGCCATGAAGGCCGTCGACCCACAGGGCGTTTCCATGTCCAGCTACAACCCCTCCAACAAGGCTGCTTCCTGCCCTTCGGTCAACTCTTCCTGGGAGGCCGAGGGCAATACGCTCCCTCCCACACCCAACCAGGCCGCCTGCGAATGCGCCGCCAACGCGTCCACCTGCGTCCCCGCTGCCAGTCTCGACAAGTCTGCCTACGGCGCCATTTTCAACTACACCTGCGCCGACGCGTCCGTGTGCGCGGGCATCAACGGCGATCCCTCGACGGGCAAGTACGGCGTCTACAGCATGTGCTCCGACGAGCAGAAGCTGGCCATTGTCCTCGGCGTGTACCATACGAAGCACGCGGACGCTTCCGACTCGTGCTCGTTTGGGGGCAATGCCACGACGCAAAAGGGCTCGGGCAAGACGGACTGCTCCAAGTTGGCGCCCAGCTCTGGCAGCAACAGCAGCAATTCGTCCAACAAGGAGAACGCCGGCGCAACGGTCGGCGCTCCTGGCTACGGCGTTGTGGTGTCTCTGGCATCCCTGGTGGCGCTGGTGGCATCGGCCATGGCTGCCCTGTAGATGACAGGCATTTGAAGAAGAGACAGCTGCGAAAGGGCGAAAAGACTAAATATTTAATGTCGCCGTACTGTACAATATTTCTTAATGACTGCCAATTATAGATGCTCATGTGTGGAACCATCATCGCTAGTTACCCACCAAGTTGGCACGGTTGGGTTCTTGATTGAAGCCAATGACGGAGCCTCGAATACAGTGGTCCCATGGTCAGCAAGTCCGCAAGCTCGCCTGCTACTAGGGTACGTACTCAGTAGGTAGCACGTGAAAACACGTATCGGAACTGGTAGAATTAAAAAGTGCTGTAATACAAACCTCTTGTTGGTTCGGAAATCCAATGCTTGGAGCTCATATCCCTGGCGGAACGCAAGGTGCAACACGCCGTTCACTGAGGCGGCTCATCAGGCCCATGTGCGCCAGCGAATGGCTCCTCAGGCTGACCCCCCTTTGCCGACCGTGTCCCCACGACCCGCCCGTCTCGTCGATCCCTTGGCGGCGCAAGCCAAGGCAACATGGTAAGCCAAGAAAAATTCACGGTTTTTGGGTTCCATTACGTAGACTTTCCATCCATTCGTCGTCTCTGTTGCTTCCGTGGAACACAGGGGCGTCCGCCTGCGAACAATTGTCTCGGGCTTCATCGACTTGCTTTTGATTCGAAACAGACAACCTTGCCATCATCGTCGACTATTCGTCGCAATGGCGCAGTAAATCGACCCGGCTGCGACCCAAGCCTTGCACGCACGATACACGACCGGTCCCGAAGCTTCCCCTTTGCGCTCGACGGCAAAGTCATAGAGCTCCATTGCTAGGGAGTCTCCCGGCGCATCTCCCCGTGACGGTCCAAAACTCCCGTGTCCCGATTCAAATACGCTACCCTTCCTCGATCCCCCCTATCGAACAAATTTTGCGCCAAACCTGCCTGCCTCGCTCTGCCTCGCCCCCCCCCTGCGACGAATTTGCACAACTCGTCTCCCTCGCTAGTTAGGTGCCTATACTCGTGGGATTGCCGCCAGCCAGCCATGCGCCTCTTTCTCGTGCCCGTCTCGACGCGGCGCACGCTCCTCTACGCGCAGCGCCTCGGCGTCACTACAAAGGGGCAGGGCTCCGCGTCGCTCCTCGACAAGGGCGTCGCCTTTGCCGCGCGCACGTGGGCCGGCTGGGAGAAGAAGGAAAAGGGCTGGCAGCGCAAGGTGGTTGGCTACGGCAACTATGCGTTTCGCCGCATCCCCTTTGCGGAATGGGGCCTCAAGTCGGTGCCCCCGCTGTCGGCGCGGCTGCGCGCCGAGGAGCTGCAGGGTGGCGGTGACGGTGACGGTGACAGAGGTAGGGTCGAAGTCGTCTTTCCGCGCTCCGTCATCCCCGAGGCCGAGGTCGAGAACGTGGCGCGCAGGCTCGCGACGGAGAGGCAGCCGATTCACCGCCGGCAGATGATGTGGTGCCTTGTGGGCATGCCAATCACGCTCCCGTTTGCGCTCGTTCCAATGTGAGTTATTTTGTCGATGCCTCCCCCCCCCCCCCCCCCCCCCCCCCCCCCCCCGCGGCCCGCGCCCCCAGGCCACCGCCCCGCCCCCCCCCCC